GGTTGAATGTGATTAAATATGTCATCACGTGCATCATGTGCATAGTGGATGATTTAAGATAAGTCAATTGATTGAGAATTGGTTTATACATCTAGGTTTGATAGCCTAACTGGAATAAATGGGTATTAGTAATCCAATACTCTAGGCTATGTGTCCGCATTATTAGACGATGGATTCCCGCTAATAGTAGTTACAACGAGGGATAATTCCTTTATAGCAGAAGATGATCCGATGATCATCTAGATGAAATCAAGCCGTGTGCTTACACTATTAGATGATGGATTCCTCGCTAACGAGTAGTTACAACGAGGGATAATTTCGTTGTAGCAGAAGGTGATCTACGGACCACCCGGATGATAAATAGAGTAGATCGGCTAATGCCCGGGGTACCCGAGATTAAAATTTATAAGTATGGTGTGAAGTCAAAATAACATTGCATATCACGTGCATCACCCTACTTACCGAGCTTCGGCTCACCTCGTTGTTATTTTTATGTCGTGACAAAAAAAGGACAAGTTGGTACGGATGTGGTCGGCTCCTTCTAACCGGCTCATTTGAGACACCATATATTAGTTTTTATTTTGTCCGTAAATTTAGGGTTGGAGTCATGAGAAATTGAATATTGCCTATAATGTTTTATTAATGTATTTAATTATGTTATGTAAATTTTATCTTAAGGAGTTATATACGTAATATGCTCGTTAAAGTTTTAAGAATCTCATAAGAGAACTATTTAGAGTTTAGGGTATGTCGCCGTAACGCGCTTCGTCTAGTACTCACTTGGGTAGTAGAAATATGATCAGGGTGAGGGCGTTACATGCTTATTTGGATAATCCTATAAAACTTGCATATAATCTTACTTTTAGATTACTTAATGGTGCTATGACCCTTGTTACTCATGTAGGCTCTGTCATGTTTTCAAATTTTGTTCTTCAAAACGTTTTATATTTACCGAATTCAAGTTTAATTTGTTATCGGTATCTAGATTCACTATTGACAATAATTATTTTACATGTTTTTACCTTTACCTTTTTCTATTTCAGCACCTATGGACTGAAAAGACAAAAGGAATTGATAAAATTCACAATGGCCTTTACCATAGCTTGCTAGCTGATTTTTCGTCTTCTCGCTTCCTCAAATTCCTTTAATAACGATTTCTTTCTAGTCATTCAAAAACAAGTTATAGTTTGAATTCTGTACTTAGTAATCAAATTTCAAATCATTGTATGTCTCTTTGTAAAGTTACTCGCTTGTAAAACAAGTTATCCTTCCAATATAACTCTTTGACACAAGAGATTTAACCATATATCTCTTTCTCATCTTAAATTAATTCCTAGTATTTTCATACCTTCCGCTCATGAATTCTTTTATGATATTTGTCTACTTGTAAAGCATGTTAGATTGCCCTTCCCTTATAATACATCTATTACACGGTTTCCATTTGAACTTGTTCATGTGGATATATGGGATTCCTATAAGCATTCAACCTACCATTGTTGATAACACCACATGTTTTATTTCATGAGAATTTATTTCCTTTCCATCCTTCTTTTCTTTCTTCTCCTTCATCATAAATTCATATTAGTAATCTTGTTTATCACTTGGATATATGATGATGATTCCACGTTTTTTTCCATTTTTTTTGTTTCTTCTTCACATGATAGACCTATTGTCACATTTCCGGACTCACCTCTTATGCTTTCTCCTAACCAAACACAATCTTCCACTCCTACTCCATAATTTCATACTCACCTCCTATAATATCTCCTAACCAAACACACTCTTCCACTCCTACTGCTATATTACATATTCAAAAATCTACAAGAGTAATCAAGCCTCCTTATTGGCATACCGATTTCTCTTGTCCTATTGTACACGCTTCCAATTACGAGTTCCATTTCTTCTACTCTTCAGTACTCCATTCAAAATTTTATTTCATATAATTCAATATCATCTTTTCATATAGCCTTTGTTTCATCTATTTCTTCTATTCAAGAGCCTACTTCCTATTCATAAATCATTAAGAATCCTAAGTGGATAGATGCTATGCAACAAGAATTACAAGCACTCGAGTTTAACGGGACATGGACACCGGTTCCTTTACCAGTGGGTAAACATCATATAGGTTGCAAATGGGTTTAGAAAGTGAAATTTAATCCCGATGGGAGTGTAGAGAGGTATGAGGCTAGGTTCGTGGCCAAAGTTTATGCTTAGTTAAAAGCGATAGATTATAGTGATACCTTCTCTCTTGTTGTGAAAATGGTCACTATGAGGACTTTGGTTGCTTTGGTGGCCATACATGATTGGCCATTGCACCAATTAGATGTGACTAATGCATTCTTGTAGCAAGATATTATAGAGGAGGTTTATATGTCCGTTCCACTAGGTTATGGCGAGTAGGGGGAGGGTTTAGTGTGTACATTGCTTAAGTCTCTCTATGGTTCAAAGTAAGCCTCAAGGAAATGGAATTCTAAATTCACCGATAAGATGTTGCTTATCGGTTACAATCAATCTTAGCATGATTATTCAATGTTCACTAAAAGGGAAAATAGAAAGATAGTTATACTATTAGTGTATATGGATGAAATATTAATAATCGAAGATGATGAGGATGGCATAAATGCACTCGAAATTGTTTCTTCATCGGACTTTCTACATTAAAGACCTTGGCTATATGAAATATTTCTTGGGTATAGAAGTATAAAAAGGTTAAAGGAAAGCATTTGTTTTAATCAAAGGAAATACACACTCGGAACCGTTGCATGATGCGAGCTTGCTTGATTCTAAACCAGATGGAGTTACCACTAGAACAAAACTCGAAGCTTACTTTAGCCCAATATGATGTTTGTACCGATAGTGAGGGTCGGATGTTATTGAACACACTCCTAGTGATTGTCCGGATGTTGTTTTGTCCGATCCCATTGAATATCGGAGGCTAGTGGGTAAGCTCATCTACCTCACCGTCACTCGTCTAGATATCTCGTTATGTAGTTCAAATCTTAAGTCGAGTTTATGCTTTAGCCTAAAACTTTACACATGAACTCGCTCTACGAGTTCTTAGGTATCTCGAGGGAGCTCCCGGACTTGGCATGCTACTATCTTCTTGAAGTCGGTTATAGTTACGAGTTTATTGCGATTCTGATTAGGCTTCGTCCCATGACAAGGAAGTCTCTCACCGGCTTTTGTGTGTTTCTTGGATCTTCTTTATTATCTTGGAAAACCAAAAAATATAATATCATTTTTCGATCCTCCGCCGAGGCCGAGTATCGCATAATGGTAGTCCTACATGTGAGATTGTTTGCATTGTGGGTTTACTGTAGGAACTACGAACCTTAGGTTTAGGAGCAACTACACTTTATTGTGACAATAAAGTCGCTCTACACATTGCTTCCAATCCAGTATTCCATGAGCGAACTAAGCACATCAAGATCGATTGCCACTTAGTTCGAGAAAAGCTCAAAACTAGATTGATCAAGCCTCGCACAGGTCGGTACTAATGAACAAGTGGTAGACATCTTCACCAAAAGCCTTGGCGTAAGCAACATCAATATTTCTTCTCTAAGTTGGGTGTTTATGATATTTGTAAACCAACAACTTGAGGAGTATTGAGAGTATAATTAGTCACCAATTTATTATACTTAGTTAGTTATAATGTTAGTTAGTTTGTTATCTATGTTAGTTGTATAAATGTCATTTAGGTAACTGACTTAGTATAAAGGAAAGCTAGCTACACTTATATAAATACAAAACGGTGTTAATTGAGGAATATACGAAATATAGACAATTCATTTTTTCCCTCTCTGTTTTCCCGCTCTGATTCTCTCTAAACTTAACAATAGAGCAATCAAATTAAAGAGACAATTAATAAAATCAATAAAGACAATAAAATATTATCTGTTACTTTACTTGTTAATTATATGGATCCTTTCCTTTTATTTTTTTTCACTGATTGGATCCTTTCCTTTGATTTTCTTTATTTTGATTGCTACATAATCTTCTATTATAGGAAGGACTCGAACTTGAGATTTGCCCTCTCGTCCCTACTATGGGCCTAAATGCCTAGTGTTAGTATGCTGTCAGTCGATATTATCTTTTAGGCTCGCCTGCTTGCTGTTGATCAAAATTCAAGAAGAAAAGGACATATTAATAAGTTTGGAAACTAGAACCTGATTACAACCAAGCAAATCATGGATTTTGTATGCAATAATAAGGAGGCTATGAGAAAGCAAAGATATGAGTAGACGCATATACAAATATGGTTAAGAGTCCAATCCAAACTCTTTGAACATCTTCCACATTCTCACTCTTTAGTCCAATCACTACTAATTTCTTTTTCAACTTTTTTTTATTCTCTGTGATATATTTCGTTAATGAAAGACTTAAACAAGAGCAACTTTGACGAATCTTTTTATGAATCACGAGAACAAAGTAAATATTGCCGTTCAGCAATCACTCGAATGTTCATGCCTATCACCTTGCTTTTTACAGGCAGAAATATAATCTATGATGAGATTGAAAGAGATATCTATCCAATTAGATTTATGACCGGATGATATTGTCGATTCAGTTTCCTCATATCGAGATTAAGTTTATTTTAAATTTACCAAACTGAAACTAAGAAATTTAAATGTTGAGTGTCATAAAATCTATTTTTGATACGGATTTTTGTTCCACATATATGATAGGGATATGATAGATGTAATTTTATCACGTCACTGTGTTAACAACCCTAACAACAAATGGAGGCTCCACCAAACCATGTTCATGCAAGAACAGTCTAGAATAAGTTGCCTAAGAAGCCATGTCAGATGCGTTTAAGGTTGCCAACATGATAAAAATCACCTTGCCACATAGGACTGCTGTCCCAAATATTAATTTTATAAGATTTATCTTTCCTTCAAAGTATCCTTCAGTTGTATAAATAGACATGCTTTCTTTCTGGTATCATCATCTGCTTTTTAGAAGCTATATCTCTAGGTAAATTGTGCTTGATTTCCAATATGGATTTGGTAGCTAAGGAGACAATTTTCCTCACTTTGTTTCTCATTGCTTTATCCTCTGTGGAGTCTGTTGTGAGTATTAGACAGTGGCAATTGTCTGGCCAGCCATTGGGAGATGAGCATCTTGTAACTAATTTGCCTGGCCAGCCAGATGTGAACTTCAGGCACTACGCTGGCTATGCTACAGTGAATGAACAGAATGGACGGGCACTGTTTTACTGGTTCTATGAGGCCACTACTCATTCTGATAAAAAACCTCTAGTCCTGTGGCTTAATGGAGGTAAGCATATAACATAAAATCATCATTGGATAGGCAGCTTCCATTTTTTTCCTTTGTGTTTTTAGGCCAAAATGAATTTGACCTAAACCCCATGAGTGTTTAATCATAGAATGCCATACAAATTTGTTGTTTTGGCTCCGATGGAAGGAAAAGAAAAAAAAATGCTGGTCTAACTATTGCAGCGTCCTTTGTGATGCCTCGACCTGTCAGCCATGATGCATGGCTTTTCAGGATTTAGCTAGACTGAAATGATAGGTATTGGTCAGAGGTCAGAACAAAAGGAGTCCAAGGAGAAGATGTGGTAACAGATGTAGCCTGTAGAGGCTTGGAATTCTACTCTATACTCTAGTGGGAGAAATTTTAGTCATCTTGTAATCATCTTCAAGGCCATTTAGATCGGTACCCATCTTTTGACCAAATCTCTCCACCTGTGATTTTATGAGTGCATGATCGTGGAAAAACACATGTTTTTTTAATATTTTCATGTTGCCTGGTCTATAGACAGATCCCCATATTATTATATAAACAAAACTTCTGGTTATAAACAATTACTTAGAGTTCTGATATATTATCACAATCCCCATTCTTAATCTCATAGTGGAGTTCCATTTTTGTTCCTCTTTCCACCTTATCCAAAGCAAGTTCTTGCCAATAACTACATATTCTATGTTCTCTAATGAGGTAACAAGATGCTCCATGTTTCAGGTCCTGGGTGCTCATCTGTAGGATATGGAGCAACACAAGAGATTGGCCCTTTCATAGTGGATGCCAGTGGCAATGGACTTAAATATAATCCTTACTCTTGGAATACAGGTCCCACAATCTTTTTTTAACACAAAGACCAACATTCTTACTACAAAATATAACCGAGGAAATTATGGTGGCACCTTACATAATGCTCCATTATATGTGATTAATTAGAAAATTTTGCTTTCATTAACATTCTTTGTGACTATGATGATGCAGAGGCCAATATGTTATTCCTGGAATCTCCAGTTGGAGTTGGTTTTTCATATTCAAACACAACTAGTGATTATAACATACTGGGAGATAATTTTACGGGTGAGTTTCAATCTGATTCTCTTGTAGAGATTGCGTTATATATGAGTGCTTTAGACAATTTTGGTATCATCACAAATCCTGAAAATTCTTTTTTTTTTTTTTTTGTACCTCTTTGTTAGCAAATGATGCCTATGCTTTCCTGCACAACTGGTTTCTCATGTTTCCATCATATAGAAAGCGGGCATTTTACATTGCAGGAGAGAGCTATGCAGGTATTTCACCTTGGCAGCAAATTCCTGACTCATCCTGATTAATTTCTGATCTTACTGACAGTACTTTTTAATATGTATTAACAGGAAAATATGTTCCGGAGCTGGCTGAACTTATAGATGAAATGAATAATGATCCTTCCCTTTACATAGACCTCAAGGGTATTCTGGTAGGTTATTATAACAGATTTGTATGCAAAACTTTCCCGTTTCTGGATAGTAATTGTTTAAGAACTTGCCTTTTTTTCTTTTCATGGACATTGCAGTTGGGAAATCCTGAAACAAATGATGCTGAGGACTGGAAAGGTATGACGGACTATGCTTGGAGCCATGCTGTCATATCAGACGAAACTCATAAGATAATCAGAAAAAGCTGCAACTTTGACAGTAACGACACATGGAGTAACAAAGATTGTAAGGAGGCCGTTGATGAATTACTCAATCAGTACAACGAGATAGATATTTACAGCCTCTACACCTCAGTTTGCATTGGTGATACAGCAAGATCAGATGACAAATTTACACAAATCATGTTCAGGCGCTCATTCAAGATGGTAAATGATTTCGGATTTGCCAGATCCTGTCGATAATATTTCATTGAAGTTGCAATATGACCTTGTTGAATTTTCAACGGATGAATTGTTTTGTTGGAGCGTTCTGCTGATGATTTTCCTAAACTATCTGGCTGTAGATGTGGCACCTTTTTCACCTTTTCTTTTGGTGAACTTTTGAAGTTCATGGGTATTGATTGTTGCTTATTTTTGAAGCAAGGTGTAATTAATTAAATTGATGACCTAACTGTTCAAATTATATTCATCAGATGCCAAGGATCCTAGGTGGTTATGATCCATGCCTGGATGATTATGCAAAATCTTTCTACAACAGACCAGAAGTCCAAAAGGCCCTCCACGTCAGTGATGGTCACCGGCTCAAGAACTGGAGCATCTGCAAGTAATGCATATTCTCTCCATCTGCTTCTCTCTATAGCAGTTCTCACATTCCATGGTTATTCTGTTAGTCAATGTTTGACACACAGGGAATTTCAATGGCTGCAAATTGAAGTTCTAGTTAATCATGGGAAGTCCATGAGACATATATAAGTTCCATTCAAAACTGAAAAATATTTTGACTACTTTCTGGATTCAGCTATAAGATATTTGACGAATGGTTGGACTCGAAGACGTCGGTTCTTCCTATATACAAGAAGCTGATTGCTGCAGGGCTTAGAATATGGGTCTACAGGTTTGCATCCCTGAACTGTAGAGATTGAAAGTTGATCAAAGGAATATATATATATATTCTTCATCAACCTCACATTATCCTTCTTGGGTGTTTCAGTGGTGATACAGATGGAAGAGTTCCTGTACTTTCCACCAGATACAGCATAAGTTCTTTGGGACTGCCGATCACCAAGTCATGGAGGCCCTGGTACCACCAGATGCAGGTATTTACAATTTACAAACATGCAAAAGCCCGGTAACACCAGAAGTAGATCGATTACTTGGTCTAGATTTTTGAAGAAATAATCACTTACAGTATCATATAGCTATCGTTAACAAAGTGAATAATTCTTTGGATCAGGTCAGTGGTTGGTTTCAAGAATATGAGGGACTAACATTTGCAACATTTAGAGGAGCTGGACATGCTGTGCCAATCTTCAAACCAAGGGACTCCCTCGCATTCTTCTCAGCCTTTCTTCTAGGAGAATCTCCGCCTTCTGAACGATAAATCAGTGGTGTGAAAGATCGGACATCTTGTTCCTCAACGATTTTGCTCTTGGTATATTAGAGTGTCAATACACATATAATAAAAATAAGAGAGCAAGATGCCGGTGAACCAGTGTTTTGTGCAAAGTAGATGTAGAATGTAGTCTTGACTCTTTCCCCTTTGGTTCCATTTGGTTGATGGTGGAGCCATGCATGGCTCGAGGACATCAATTTTGAGTATGTGTCTCTGTGAAAAACGATAAATAAACTCCTTATGCACTACATATCAAATCGTTATCCAATTTTCCACTTCCAAAGGTTAGCATAAGACGTGGTTATAAGCATTCAAATTGTCCTTGATAATGCCCCAGGCGCTTTCCATGTGATGAGAGTCCAAAATGCGAAGTTGAATATACCTTTATTAGTTGTCCTAATTTACGAATACTTCTATCGCATACTCATGCTTGCTTCTATTTCAACTTCTGATTTGATACATCAAGCATGCCTGTCTTCTACCTGTGTTTATGTTGGTTTGAATTGAATGCACTTCTATTCAAAACAAACACGTTGTCTTTTAGAGAAACCTCAATCTAATCCCAAACCTATAAACTAATTCTCAATTGCATCTCAAATTATCAATTAGATTCCAAATGTTATATATATATATATTTCAACCCATCCTTTTGTTAATTTTATTAATAATTTATGCCTAATGTACATATTTTATGCATTAAAATAGTATTAATTTAAAGAAAATTTGATAGAAAAGTTAATAAATACTCACTTTTTTTTTTTTTTGTATAATGTGCATATATATGTATTATTTGAGATCTAATTGATAGAATAAAGTTTAGAACTTAATCGAGAATAAAAATTTATAAATTTGAAACTAAATTGAGATTTTTTTTTAATATATGTCCACCCACCACATTTTATAGAACATCAAAGGTTCAATGATAGGGATGGTGTGAATTTATTTGTTCTTATGCGAAATGTTGGTATTTTAAATTGCTTGCACATGGCCATCCAGTCAATTACATGCGTAGCATAACAAGTCGTTCCAAACTAGAAGTGAAAATAATTCGAAAATAAAATAAGTGTCAATTATACCTGGTATAATAATTATTCATTAAAAAATATTTAATAAATATTGTGATAAATAAAGAAAAAAATACTTACTCGCTAATATAATTTTAAAATATGAATATTTAATTTTTACCCTACTAACATCCATTAACATATTTAAAAAAATAATAATATGTAGCTAGAGACCTAATTGCATAAAATTTATAAATCAAAAATTGAAATATTTTGATCAGTTGGTTCTAAATTATTCTAAATTTTTTGTCAAACAGAAACTGGTATCCAATATTTAATTTTTTTAATTTTAATATTTTTTTTATCAACAATTGAGTCTAGCTTTTCCATTGACCGATCTCCGACAACATTGTTCACACATGAGAATTACTTAGAGTGAAATAATACAAAAAAAAGGACCAAAACTCAAATTAAATACTCATCTAAACCTTTTAATTTTTCCCTTTCTCTCTTCTCTCTCCTGCATTATTTCTCCTTTTTTTTTTCCTTCTCTTTCCTATGAATCTATCTTCTTCTTCTTTTTTTCGTCCATTATTTCTCTCCTTCTTTTTTCCTTTATCCTCTATTTCCCGTGTTTATGTCTTCTTCTTTTTTCTTTGCTCTTCCATAATTTCTCTCTTTTTTCTCTTTCCTATCTCTTCTGCCAGAACTAGGATTTGAATCTTTGACTTCTTACGTACAAGCAAAAAGCCATTACCAATGAGCTACAAGCTTATTGGTTCTTCCTACTGTTGTTATTATTATATTATCTACTTGTTTCTTTTCATTGAATTTAATTTAACTTAATTCAATTCAATTGCTTATTTCTTTACTTTTATTGTGTTTTTCTTGGTTTTAAGAATTATGAGAGATTTTTGAACTTTGATGTTTCTATTTTGTTATATCAATTTTCAATTTTTATTAGTTGAAAACCAGAATAATAAGAATTATAAGAACCAAACAAAGATTAGACCTAAAGAATGTTATTTGGAGTATCTGAGGAGAAGAATGCTAAATTTCAGTTTTGTTGCTTTTATTATTGTAAAATGATTTAAGATTTTGCTTGTTTTAATATGAAAGGAAATAGATATGAGCTTTTTAGTCATTTAAAAATTTTCTCTTTATTTAGGTCAATTCACATAATGAGAGTGATTTTGAATGATAGTTGGAGGTTAGAAAGACAAGGAAAAAAATTATTGTCTAGGTTTTATTGTATGTGTTACATTAGCAAATGCATTTGATTCGGTGGTCTTAGATTTCAATCAAGCATGGAATGCAACAAAGATGAGTCCATTAGAGCAAATGATATTACATATAGCAAAATGCAAAATGGTGGCTTTGAAAGGACAAGAAAGATTGCATTGAAGGCGCACCAACTCTATCTTGAACTTATTCTGCACAAAACAAACTAAATGGATCAAAAATGGATTGCTATGGAATTCTCCAAATTGAGAGCTCTTTTGAGGAGATAGTTGTCAACAAGCAATATAGAAAGTTTGCATTCTTACTTCATCCTGACAAGAACAAGTTTGCTAGTGCAGGAACAGCTTTCAAGCTGACTAGTGAGCACATAGGGTATTCATACGGATAGGGAACTTTTTGGAGAGTTTTCGATTTCTTGCATGATTGAATCTTTTATTATTTTGAAATATTTGAAATATTGAGTGTTTTGAATTAGAGCTTTTTATGTGTTTTGATCTAGATTTAGATGTTTGGAATTGGATTTTGAGTGTTTAATCACTAGATTTGGGTGTTTTGAACTATTATTATTATTATTATTTGCATTAGTTTTTTAATGTTGTGTTGCACTTAGTTGTTTTGAAATGACTCTTTTTCTTTTTTCAAACTGAAATGCTTCTAAAAAATATAGTGGCCTTTAAAAAAATAATGGCAAGCTTGTAATAATTTGAACATTTTTTTACCTAGAAATTTGACAATTAAAGCATAATTATAATACATTATATTTTTTTGAAACAAGTATTAAAATTATAGGATGTAAAATATATTTTTTAGAAAATGTAAGTGCAAGGTGTTCCTGCCACCTAACTACAATGTGTTTTTTGTAATTTATCAATTAAAAAAAATAAAGATTGGGTACCGGTCTCTATTTGATAAAAAATTCAGAATACTTCAGAAGCAATTAACCAAATATTTTTTTTATGAAAAATTTGGATACAAAAACTTATAAATGAAGAACTAAATTGAAAAAAAAAATTAAGACCCTAACTTTTTTTCAAACTTACAAGAACTAAAATAAAATATTTTAATAAATTATTTTAGCGTGTATTATATGTGTATTAAATAAGCAAATAAATAGGATATAGATAGGGTGTGAGTTCATAGAATCATTTGTTAATGAATATAGATAGTTTTTTTTTTTTAATGAGTGAAGTAAAAAATTAAATTAATGTACCAGCCATTTACCATCCCTATTCCAAACCCTCCTTTACACATATGACGTATGTGCATGTGTTGCTTTTCAAGAAAAAAACGTGTGTTGCTGTGCAAAAAAAAACGCGTGTGTATACAGTAAATCCCATCTATGGCTCTTGTTGCAGCTGAATATAAATTGATTTAAGAAAATAAAACTAATCAAATAATATATGCTGACCACTAGATATACAAGTCTTTCTCCCACTATTTTTTTTTATTGTATTTTTTTTCATTTTAATTTCGGGTTAATAGTTGGAGAAGTCTTTTTAGTGTTAACTTTATCGTGTTCTTTTATTATTTTTTTCATTTTAAGATCATTCATCTATATTTGGTTTTTGTTTTAATATCGTATTTTAATCTCGTTCCTTGGTTGACTTTAAAATAAACGATGTTCACTTGCCTTTTTTTTTCTACTTTAATCTCATTTATCTATTCTATTGTTTTTGTCCTAATTTTTTATTCAGTTTAAATAAATGAATTTTGGACCAAATTTAAATAAATGAATTTAAAACAAACAAAATAATAATAATAATAATAATAAAGATATGCCTAGCCATTCTCTCTAAGAATAGAAAAAAAAAGGTGAAGAATTAAGTATTTTTTTATCCAAAATATCATTTATAGGGTTACATTTGTCTCTATAATAGAAAGAAAATTTTTAATATAAAATAAAATATTTATAGTATTTTTTAATATAAAAAGAGTTTTAATTAAAATTTTAAACTTTTGAATTATATTTATAATTTTTTTTATATCTCAAGCGAGTCTATTACAATTTACTTGTTTTTCATTTTATAAATTTCTTAATTTGACTTTAAAATAGGAATATAAATTTTTATTAGTGTTGAATCTAAACGCCGATGAATTTCTTAATTTGACAAAAATTTATAAAAAAATTTATATTCTCGCTTTTGAGTCAAAATTAAGAAATTTATAAAATCAAAATGAGTAAATTATAATAGACTCTTTTAAATTATTATAAAATTATAAATATTATTTAAAAGTTTAAAATTTTAACTAAAACTCTCTTTATATTTTAAAAAATATTATAAATATTTTATTTTATATTAAAAACTATTTTTATATCATAGAGATAAATTTACATTCATAAAGAATATTTTGAATAAAAAAGTATTTTTAGCTTCACTTTTTTTAAGTTTTTTTATTTTTATTTTTTAGAGAGAATAACTTGACATATCTTCATATTTTTTCTATTTTTTTAAATTCATTTATTTAAATTTGGTATAAAAAAAGCTTAAGAAGAAAAAATAGAATAGAGGAATAAAAGTAAAACAGAAAAATAATAATTTAACAATGCTAATCTAAAAGTTAATAGAGAGACGAAATTAAGAAAAAAAAATCAAATATTAAAGGATAAAATAAAAACGAAAAAAATAAAAAAACACGATAAAGACACAAAAAAGAAGAAAAAGAAGAAGAATATTTGTAATCATTAACTCATTTGTTTTGCAGCTGATAAGACTTATTTAACAACTGAATTTCTTGTTGCAA